TATTTAGCTTTCCTTTCTTTTCGCTAATCCTTTCGATACTGTTTGATTAGTTATATAGAAATAGGCCGCCAAATTGTGCATTCCATACATTTGTTTGACTATTGTTAATTTTGTGTATCCTATGTAATTATGTGTGGTGGACAATAAAGTATTCAGTCATTCATAGTAATATATTTTTAAAATGTTGTTAATTATTTATTGTTTTTATTATTATCTGAAAGGGTGGCAAGAGAACCGGTGCACCTAATGTTAAGTGATAACCGCCGCCCATCTACATCTGCAACACCCGTAGTTTGCAGATGCGTTGCCGCCTTTTAATTAAGTGGGCTGCGGTTACCTCACTCACCAGACGAAACGCAGAAGTGTAACACTTCTACTTTACGCCGGTCGTCTGTGAGACCGGACCGCGGTACTTCCCCGGACGGACCTGCCCATTCGTGCAACTGTGCGAAGACTGTTGCGTGACCCTATCACAGACTTGATTAAAGTCGATAATTATGTCAAGTAAGCAGTATAGGTAGTCTTAACCGCTGATTTTAAAATATCATTATTTGGTTTATTACTAATTACTGCAAATGACAAATTCCTGTAGGTACTAACGTTTGTTTGCGTCCAAGAAAGTAGATCGCATTTTAATAACAAGAGATTGAAACATAGCATTATTGGTATTAATTTGAAGAGTATGTAAATACTGAAGTTACTGATGTCCTAACGATCATCGGACCGTACAAAATTCTAAGTCAACTTACGTTGTTGACAACTTTTTAAGTGCTCTACACTCTATACGCTAAATCTATCTCCTAAAAGGAAAACGACGCTTTTGCAAATTACGCGTGTTTTCAAAGTTCATGGGTATCGTATTTGCTCACGAAGTCACGATACGATGATTTTTCGCCATTTCCTTCATAAAAAGCGTTAATTATAAATTAGATAGTGATTAGACACTTGATTCAAAAGCGCGCGGGTCTGAATTAGAAACGCTTCATAAAATGTACAATTTCCGGGCGTTGAAACAAAATAATACAATAATTGTAATTAATACTGGTGTGCTCAAGGGAATTCTAAACATAATTCCTAGCGCTTATTTATAGCATATAAGAACTCTTGTGCAAGTTCATGCACTTCAGTTAACCGGTTTATGATTTTGTCTTTAAATTTAAATAGTAATTATAGTAGAAACTAAAAAAATATGGTTAAGTTTAGCAGCTTTTCTTGCAATAGGTAAACGGGGTAGGTACTTGAATATAGAATAAAATAGATTTTATTTCATCTTTAGAAAATACATTTGTATACCACACAACGTGGACAGTTTAACTAAGTATTAAATAAACAAAATATAACACACTATTGTCCGGTTTCTGAAACACTGATCATCGTAGAAGTCAACTAACCAGCTGTCAAATGTATTTTCAAATCGTATTTGAGTTGCCAAAGGGATTGTTAAACTCTCTGAATTGATCAGAATGATCAGAATAACTTCTAAGATTATCAGTGTTTCAGAAACCGGACGTAAAACATACAATACACGTAAAAAATGAGAAAAAAAAAACAGTGTCAGATTAGGTGAAAAAATAAGTTATTAATACAGTAATTATATTTTCCATAAACATTATTATTATGAAATATACAATATAAAAGCGATCTCGCCGCCAAAGGAATCAAAGATGGCCGTTTGCCGAACGAGATCGTCCGCTAAAGAGAAAAAATTGTTTGCTCCCCGTCGTCCTGCGTGAGCCCTTATAAGAATTCTGCCAATCGAGGTGGACCCACATTTTGGTTCTCCGTCCGTACTCACTTTATCAGCGGGGGTATTTGTCGACGATAACCGCCCGACCATAGAGCCCACCTAAACGTCACAAGCCCGCCCGCAACGTTTGTCAAATGTAAACACGTGTTTTTTTTTATAAAACACCGCGATAAAAGTTGTGATTCTAGTTATTCGGCCCATTAGCTGTCTCCCTGGCGTAGGTTGTGACGAGAGCGATACGCCGCGAATTTTGATTGATAATCGTGTACTCAATGTTTTCGATTTAACATAAACAAGACTATCCACTTATCACGGTTATATTTTGCGAAATAATAACAATCACTATAGTGGATTAAAGTTATTAGGCGGTAAGACGATATTGCACGAAACTTATGTATATTGCAACGATTACCAGATTTAGTCACAGCTAAAGTACGTATTATAAGTTAAAGGGAAACTGCTGCTATTGATGGTGGCTACGATTACTTCAATATTTCAAGCTTTCATAAATAAATATTAAAAAAGCCATCGGTTTGACATTTGACGACCCAATTTTCGTAGTGGATAGCGAAACTGTCTCCTGCGGCAGATGGTGTGGGTTTGATTCCCACTACTGGAAAAATAATGTCCGATGAACACAGTGTTTTTCTAGTGTCTTGGTGATTATAAATCTTTATTATGTATTTATCTGTTAACTAGTATCCATAGCTTTGCTTATTTGGGACTAGATGACGTTGTGTAAAAATACCTGTAATATTTAGTCATTTATTTTGTTTTACGTTAAAACGAAATTCATCTATCTTTAAATGATGACATCAGCCCGGTTGAAGTACGTGACGGTGAGAGTCCAAAAAGAAAATTAAAAAAAACATGTTAATCAAAAAGAGTACGGACCACGAATCTGTAGAGTTAGTTTGTTAAAATAAAAAAACATGAGAGACTTTCTGGCATAAAAGTTTTAGGGGTAAACATTTTTCGTCGTGACTCTTCTCCAAGGGCCAAATTTGTTTGGTAATTTTCAAACGCAGAAAATCTGGTAAACACTTGGCCATTGATCCAACTGTGGGGGCTGAGCAAGAAATGTTTTTTTTAATTTTCATATTTTCATCCATTCGGTGTTAGCCAGCTTTGACGTTTAAAAATTAAAAAAGGAATGTTTTCTTTTTTTTTTACAAATGAACACGCGAGGGCTATGCGAACCGGCCTGACCATCTCCGGGCCACGTTTGCCACGAAAATTAACACCTACTATCAAACACTGCATCGCCTATAGATAGAGCATATTTTGTTTGCCCTTCCAGTTCGCTTTGTGTTTACTCGCCTAACAGGAAATTTATTTAAGTTATAATTTTCTGTCATTCGTGCGCTCCCCAAAGAGTTTATCTGCTAATAGATATATGGGCGCGTCGGTCCCTTCATTTAAACAATGGCCGAAGACGCTCCACAGAACGTGAAAGTGTTGACTTTTGACCCTTTGTAGTTGAAACGACAATGGGTTTCTCATAAAAATCTTATCATAGACGTTCCGAAATTTGCGGCTTGTGTATAATGTTTTATATAAAATGATAAGAGACGTAAAGATAACACAGATCACTCATTTTCAATCAAAATTAGGATATATCTAATTATTTAACTGTGAAACAGTTTAAACATTGTGTTTCAATTATTATAAAATGGATTTCAGTTTAGGTATATTTAGTTTTAGATATTTATAAAACGCTTGTGTGTTATTTTTCACTGCAGAAAAATTGTAAAAAGATCACGGCTCTAACGTTCTTAACATAATCCCTTGTTCTAGACACTTTGTTGTACATACACCAGATGGATAATCTAACTGTCGACGAATTAATTATGCGCAGTAAATGAAACGGGCCTTTGTTTGATTTCTCATTCGTCGGGTTACACTACAAATGCCTACGCTACACAGTTTACGTAACACCACTAATTCCACGCTGATTCTCTTCCATGTGACAAACATAATTTATGAAGTTCTTAATACCGAGATAAGGAATATTTACACACTCCGAGTACACAACGAGACACCTCAGCTGTGTCTTAGTGTTGTGCACACAGATCTACGTATCTTGGTAATTTCACTCGTTGAGAAATCTACAGCGCAGATAAAAAATTGTAAACAGAAATTACCATTTTTCGACACAATTACAAATGTGAAAAAAACCTATGTATTGTACCTAAGCGCTCTCGGGCGATGTGTTGAACCACGGGTCGTAAACTTTTGTGCTGTGCATAAATTATGAACGCGTTAAAAGTTATACTGTTGTCGATGGTTTTTTTTTTACCGAAATTAAATTAAAAATTTTTCGTTTACATAAATTGTGCGCAAAAATAGTCATTTTAAATATTTCTCTTTAATTAAGACATTGGAATATTTAAATTATTTTTAAATTGTTAAATGTGTACCTAGCACGGAAGAGGAGCACGCGGTGTGGTCCACGCTTAATCCCGTGCTAAGCTTACGTGCGCGGCGCTTCAGTTCTTACCGCGTCTGGATTTACCTTATCGAACCCTCGGGACGTTGTTCGTTTTATAAACATTCCCTTACAAATATTAGCACCCAAGGGGCTCGAAAATTTCAAACTGGAAAACGTAGTGTTCACTATAATCGTAGTTTCAATTCGTGTGCTCGAGCAAACAATTCAAAGACTGGTACAATGGTTTCCACTTGTATCTAGGGCGTTCGTAATTGATTTAAACGCATGCCGGTCTTGAATGATTATCTATGAAATAACGTTCCGTCTTATCTATTCCTTTGAATTTATGCAATGAAACATACATACATGACATATTTGTGGTTCCATGTATTGTTGTTTTGGGATTGAATATGAAAAAAAAATTTAATGAAACCAAGACGCACTCAAATCACTCTTCACTAAATAAGACATTTGATAATATAGATATCCATATGTTATAATGTAAAAATCAAAAAGTCAAGGCCTTTTTTCTATTACCTATTTGTAAAAAAAAGAAATGGAAATAAGTGATCCACCTGATGGGGAATAGGAACAGCATGCAGACATGTTCCGAAATCTGAAAGCCTGTGGTAAATTACACGTATTGTTTCACCAAAAGGTACTGATGACTGTCGGCTAAATCAACAGCATCGGCGATTTACCGTTATTAATTTTAATGACCTGACTCTTGATTCCATAGTTTAACCGACTGCGAGGAAAATGTTCATGAACTATTAACGAACTTAGTTACACGACTTATTAATTGTTTTCTTATTGTTGAAGGTAAAACACGGACAAAGGATAAATATCGAGTTGTTTACACCGACCATCAGCGGCTAGAGTTGGAGAAGGAGTTCCACTACAGCCGGTACATCACTATCCGGCGCAAGGCGGAGCTCGCAGCCAGTCTTGGGCTTTCTGAGCGACAGGTAAGACTTCCTCACAGATTATATTACCGCTTTGGTGCTGAAGATAGCAAGAAAATACGTAGAACTTAACTGAAATATGAAATATTCCAGTGCGAAATATTTTATCCGCCTGCATAATGACCATAATCCACTTCGAGATCCCACCACGCTTGTGCGGATTTCTTATATTTATTTATTTAAGACTAGCTGACCAGGCAAACGATGTTTTGCCATATTTATTATTTCTAGAGAATTTGTGAATCCCAACACATAGAAAAATAAAATTAATTTTCGAAACGCTTGCATTAAATTTTTGACAGGTGGCAACAGTTTGTATGAGAATATAAAATGGTTGCTATATCGATTTTCCATGCAATTTTTCCATATTTTCTCATCGTTTAAACCTTCTCTGGACTGCCATAAATATTTCAAAACCAAAATTAGCCATATCGGTCCAGCTATTTTCGCCTTTTAGCGAGACTAACGAAAAGCAATCCATTTTTATATACATTAGTAACCCTAAACTGGATGACCAACAGCCAATAACAGCCTTCACTTATGCAGTGGGGCCGCGTGGCGAACTATGCCCTGATACCCTCTACAGAGCAGGCCGTTTCCCAGCAGGCGGATACTATTAATAAGATAACACACACATATTCACATTGGAATGTTATTTTAAAATTAAAGCTTAAAGAGAATTTCGAAAACGGTTTTTTCCATCGATGTTTATCTCACATTCTAAAAAGTTATAATTGTTGCAGGTAAAGATATGGTTCCAAAACCGTCGCGCCAAAGAGCGTAAGCAGGTTAAGAAGCGCGAGGAGGTAGTGATGAAGGAGAAAGGTGACCATACGTCGTTGCAGCACGCGCAATTGCACCACGCCACCATGCTGCATCACCAGCAAATGATGAACGGCATGATGCATCATCACCACTATCACCAAGGGGTGCTACAAGGCGTCCCAGAGCCGCTGGTCCCGGGAGTGCCCCCGGTGCCGTTACTGTGACCGCAACAACAGGACTTTTGTTCTCACAGTGACACCTACGGATAGTGAGTTAGTGATTTGAAACAAACCATTGTGCGTGTGACTTCGCCTATTAGACTCCTACAGTTAATCGATTTGATCTTTGTATAAAATGTGATAAATAAGTGCAATATTCTCGCGGGAATATTTAGGTCTATAAGCGTACATTCCGTACGATACGTGGTGTTTATAATCAACATGGTAGAGCGCCGACTGCCCTATTTCTTTTTGGTAATATCTAAGGAATCACCTTCGACGTCTTTAAATCGCTGGCTTTATTTTCTAATGACGTACTTTTTTTGTATTAATGTTTTAGTTACGAACAATTTTGATTGATCTTAGTGAATAAAGCCCTTGCTTTAAAGCCATGGACGATCAATTTTATTTTGTCTATTTTGCTTGTACTGTGGTAGTCATAGTGTTTATTAGTAAATTAACGTTGCATAGAAACAACGTAATTTAAATGGTTTTGTCACTGTAAATATAGATTACTATATTTTTATATTATTATATTAATTAAGTATAAAATGATGTTATTTTAAGCTAATTAATGTTTCTCAAACCTGGGACTGATTACCATGAGATTAATAGCTATATTGTATTTGGAATTTTGCATTAATTTTATTATGAAATCAAATTTATTTAACAAAAGCTTTTAATCTTGCATTTTATGTGAAAAACATATTGCATTTATAATTATATTAACAAATTAATAATGAAGAATGTTGGATTTATCTTAGCGCGGCGAGTCATATCCTTAGTTAAGATTTAGTTACGAATCTCATTCTAATTTTTTTAACAGTTTGTACCAGTGAATTTATTTTAATTGACATGTCATAGGTTTGAGAAATTATTAATATTTATTTCCACGTTAAATGAGATTATTTGTAGTTCGTAAAATGTTCTGTAAATAATAGCTTAAATTAGGTATTATTCTCATCTCAGTTTTAATACTACATAACACTATTAAAGTCTATCACGCCATATTAACCTAATCGATTAAGGCCTTTAGATTTTCCGAACGGAAAATTGTGTATGGCAATGCCTTGCTGTAGTTTTGATTTTGACACATGTGACAGCGTTGCATTATTTTATTTATTAAATCAAGCGGGATAATTTGGGTTGTTTATCGTATTGTTTTGTGATATTAAAGATGTCTGAAATGGTGCTACCCGTGTTTAACTATTTTGCGTTGTACTTTGCACTACCTCGAAACAGCGAACCCTGCGTAATATTAAGATATTTTGTAAATTGAAGTATCGTTTTCGCTTGTTGTAATTACTTAATTGATACGTGTTGATGTTTGAGAAACGTTTGTATACACCATTTTGTTAGTATGTATGTGGCACTATCACGAAACACATTTGATAAACTAAATAAAACCATGTTAATCCATTTCAAATCGTATTATTTATGCGTCAACCCATTGATAAAATTAAAAATGCAATAAAATAATTGGTAAAATTTCTTGGTACCACTAAAACATAATTATATTAACAACAATGCGATTCAAATAAGAATAGAACTTACCTTGCGCCATCTTGTGACGTTACGGCTGTCAATTCAAAGCGTTTGGGTAGTGTGAGGAAAACAGACATTTTTAAATAATAATTATTTATAAATAAATTGTGTATTCAAAGCACACAATATTTCTCTAAATGTTTTAATCAGAACCTAGCACTTCAATTTCGCTCATTTGTACATCATTTTCTGAGTAGTAATCGACGTCATCATCATCACTATTTATATTTAAAAGAAAAATAGACATTTTATTATCTGTGTATAATAAAACAAGTTATTAAAAACTGTAATTATTTTTAAAACTAATTGTGACTTCAATAGATGAGGTAAATACCCCTTATAAGTATATTATAAAATAAAGGTTTTTTAAATTTTCAAGTGGAAAATTAGTTTTCCTTCATATTTCGATCATTCAGGTCATCGTTCCAATTTTTATTTGAAACAAATTAGGTATACCTAACCAGATGTTATAACTACCACTCGTAATGGAATTTTAAGGTGCTATAATTTTTTTATATTCTGTACTATGTTCCATTAAGAAAAGCTATTTAATTAAGGTTATATGAATCAATAAAAAGTTTCATAATTACCTCGTGCCAATCTTCTTGTCTTCTTTCAGTCTTCTTACATATCTTAACCATATTTCATTTCTTAACCGGAAAACTGAGCGTACACAGTATTTCTTTTATTTACACACCAATCGCATCTTCATAATATCGCTTTTCATTATTTTCTTTAACTAGGATTTCTATTAAGGGTCTCTTAAATATAGTCGCTCGGAGGCTACGAGAATCAACCTTTTTATAAGTGTTGAGTTTAGTATGTACAGAGATTCGGTCGCAGTGAGAATATTCAACGACCGAATGTTCGGCAAAACATGTATGCATTTCGCTTAAACTAATTAGTCATTGCCTTCTGGCATATATGAAGTGTGTGTGACTTATGAAGTATAAAATAAAAAAGGTAAAAAGTTTGTTTGAAAAATGCCTTTGCGAATTACTAATACTAAATTAATTGATTTAAACACGTTTTTGCCTAATACGTTTCACGATTTGATGTTCTGTTTTCGGCGAACAATATAAAATACTCGAAAGAATACTGAACAATGAAAAAGTATCCGTTTAAATCTTGTCTTATTGCATTCAAATATTTGAAGCATTTTTAATCTTATAATGTTAAAAGCCATTAAACAAAACTGGCAAAGTGTTAGTCGGACTCGCGCGCGAAGGGTTCCGTACTACATCCTTACTAATATTATAAAGGCGAAAGTTTGTATGTATGGATGTTTGTTACTCTTTCACGCAAATACTACTGAACGGATTTTAGTGAAACTTTACAATAAGATAGCTTATACATCAGAATAAGACATAGGCTATAATTTATATACATATTTTATGTATGTCTGTCTTTCTGTCTGAATGTTACGCCTTCAGCCTATTCTACGCAGACGTAGTCGCGGGCAGCAGCTAGTCATTCATAAAAATGGCAAAAAAAATCATGTCTGTTGTGTGGGAGCCCCACTTAAATGTTTTTTTATTCTGTTGTTATAGCGGCAATAGAAATACATTATCTGTGAAAATTTCAACCGTCTTACTGTCAAGGTTCATGAGATACACAGGCTGGTGATAGACGTATAGGCAGATAGACAGACAGACAGAAAGACAGACAGCGGAGTTTTAGTAATAGGGTGCCGTTTTTCCCTTTGGGTACGGAACCGTAAAAATGTGCTTTGTGTAGTAATAGTTGGTCACAACCACCTAGACTCGATTTATCTGGGTGTTGGCCGATTTATTTGCACGGTTTTAATTATATAAATCCAATTAAGAGATTACATTAATAATGTAAAAAAATTGAGATCAATCTTTGGAAACGGATTGACTATTGACAATTTTTATTTTATTATTGGAATGTATATTGTAGAACTCCTATCATAACAGAGTCTCAATTGTTTGAATTTGTGCATATCTTCGAGATGCACCGATATTTTTATTATTAACTAGCTGCCCGGAAATACTTCGTTCTTTTTTTATAGTATTAAAACCCGTGGACCTTAAGGAACATACAAAAAAAAAATTAGCCGAATTGGTCCAGCCATTCTTGAATTATGCGCTTACCAACATTCATTTATATTTATTAAGGTTTCATTACTTTACAATTACATCTACAAGCCGTCTCAAGTTGTGGATGTCCGTGGGCAATGCTTGTCGACTTTTCACATAAAATATAAAAAAAAAAAATTCTTTGTCTTAGTAACAACATTTACTGTTCGTTAACGTAAAGACATTAAATTTTTTTCGGCAGACTATTCCGCAAGTTGAGAAGTGGCTTCTGAATGATATAATATACATTCACGCACAAAACGTGTTTTATAAATGAGATTTTCTCTACAAATTTTAAGATTTATTTAATAAAAATGCAATCGACTTTTTGTAGTTTATTAAAAAATAGCGATTCTTATCATTTATCATTGACGAGATGCTTACGTTTTTATATTTCTTGGTAAGATGATATTTAAATGCAATAAAAATACCCATGTTAGAAATTATGGTTATTATTATAGTTGTATGGGTAGTTTGGATACAGGCTCACAAAACGTCACTAATATCACCAGGGTAGCTATGTCTGTTACACAATACCCTTTTGACAATTTCGGTTTTAAATAGCATTATAAAGGTAGGTTACAAAATCGAATTTTCTTTATAGCCTTTGCAAGACGTACATAATAAACATTTAATGTTCTTAAAAACTGTATTAATTAATTATTAGTTGTGTGCGCATGTTTAATCATCAATTTTTTAGGATTACAAAGCTATTTTCGGTTCAATGATAGCTTTACTCAACAGTAGACGCGAGGAGGAATGCCGCTAAGTGTTGTGTACACCAATACTCATTGAGGGCATTTGGCGGGAATGAGTCAAAGACGCCGCGTGCATACAGCCCACCCGGTGTCATTATCGATAGTAAATTTCCATGCGTTGTCTAATTGTCCTAATTTACTTTTCCTATAAAATTATAGAAATATTTTAAACATATTGATTACTTTTTTACTCAAATGTTATACATATTTAAAGGAACTATTATTCATATCTAGAATTAAATTAAACAATTTTACGGATCATGTCGCGTTTTAATTTTTCACGTTTCGAACTCTCTCCAGTCAGTCCCGTGTCCCACGCTGGAAAGGATTCGAAACGTCAAATTAAAAATCAAAATTAAAACGCGACAAAATCAATAAAATTGTTTAATTTAATACTAGATATGTGTATAAATAAGATACCTACATAAAACAAATGGACTCGAAACACAAAAACTTTTTACACAAAAACTTTGTTGTGTAAAAATGTGTTCTGAAATATTTATTATTATTTACTTATTACATTTATTATAAATAAGAAATGTATCATAAATAATGTACATAAATAAGAATACGCAGTGTTTTTACGACGAAGATTTAAATG